GATCTTTTATCACGAAGGATCTATATGATAATATTCATTTTCCTGGATAACTTCAACTGACATCACAATATCCAAATTCTGATGATCACACAAGCATCAGGCCTTTTTAATGGTAACAGGAACTCAAAGCACCAGACTGGAGATAAATACAAAACCACTTCATAGTTACTTATTACACATTGGTGTCTAGTGGCACTGAAAAATTTACAGCTAACTCCTTCCTTGGAAAGATGACTGTGCAACCCTTACTAGAATTGCTCATTAAAGAAACATCTATTCCAGAAATGAAATGCCAACAGAAAAATGAGGAAAAAAAACAGATGAGGAAGATGGAAATAGATGGCTTCAACCTTTAACCCTGTGTCAGGAATTTATTCTGCCTTTGAAAACATTTGGTTTAGTCTTCTGACTCAGATTTTACAAGGGCTTTTATAAGCCTCAGTAGAACACCTGTTGGTTAATCCCTTGTTATAACCTACCTTGGCTCACCTCATGGGGAGAAGAGCTGATGGATATGCTCCCAGGATGAATCACTTTTTGGACTCTTAGCAGGATGGATTTGGGCTCAATACACTGGTGCCACAAGCTGGCACAAGACCAAAGGACCTCTTCCCCTTCCCCAGATCTAAAGCAGACCAGAGGATCTGTGCTCCCTCCCTGCATCCTCCCTTAAGAACAGATTATATGCTTTTGTTTCCTATACACACAGCCATTTTACTCCAGGTTTTTCTTTTCAGACTTCCCTTTAGCAACACATAGCAAAAAACAGAAAAACAAACAAACAAACAAACAAACAAAAAAACAAACAAAAAAACAAACAAAAAAAAAAGTGTAATGTTTTGCCATGACCAGGCCAAAAGCTACAAGTAAGCTTCAGTAGCCTGATTCTACAGCAGCAAGATTTACTCCAACATAATAACAATGTTTAAAATGTGGTGAAACTGTGCATTTCCACCACCTAAATCACACAGACATTCTGCAGTTTTGTGGCATTTGGTCTTTTTCTCTCCATGTTTTTAAAATTAATGCAAGTATAAGTTCATAAGAAAATTAAGAGCTGCCTTTATATTTATTCTCAGAAAGGATAGAGGAAATAATTTTCATGAAATCAAGCTAAGGTAAATCATACAGCTACAGTGATGTAGAGACAGAAATACACACCAATTGGAATTCGGAGTTTTATCTTTCTCCCTCCACTTTATTTCTTCTTTTTTCCTCTCTCCCTTAAGTTTAAAATAATATTTAAATACTAGTTTTTGTTGCCAACATAAGTATCTCAGAACAAAGCCCAACCCTGTATTACTGTAAAGTAACAGTAAGGAGGTAACACATAGGTATGCATAGACCATAACATCTTCAATTCCTTCCATATGTAGCCAATCCCACAATTATCCCTCAAAATATTTGTGACAAACATGAAAAATCCTGTCTCCTTACATCTATCTGCAGAGCCTTGTTTTAACTTTGTGGCTTGGAAGGTTTGTAGAACCACATCCAACATCCTTGTTCACTTTGCAGGCTGCAAACACCACAATTTGTGGAGAGCTTCTTAATGAGGTGCTCTTCCAGAAAATCTACTCAAGAAAGTGGCACTTCCCTCCCAATCCTCTCTTCTGGAGGTACCTCAGACATAATGAGACAGTAATTAAGGGGAAACTGGACATGTAAATAGTGATCCACTAGTATAACATGAAAATCCAACACACTGCAGCCTAAAATAGCACTGTGTACCTTCTGAACTATATATTTGTCTATAGATTTTTTCATCCCTTTTTATAACTTGTTTCCAAACAGATAGTAAAATTGCTTTAAAAAGAAAAAAGAGGGGGTAAAAAAGCAAGAAATCCCTAAAAATCTAACTGCTCTGGCTTATGTTTGTATGTTACTAAACAGCTGCTAAGGATGTGTGGAGCTTGATACTCCAATACCTCCCTAATGCCATGGGAGGGATGTAAATCCTCAGTCCTCCTCCCAAAACAGTTTTATTTTGGAAACTTCATGCTCTTGGTATAAACGAAAGCATTTATTGCAATGGAAGACAGTAACCCAGGGATTCAGGGAGATATAAACCTTCACAACCTTTGCTTTCTTATTCTGATTAGCAGTTCTTAAGCCTATTAAAGGTGACAGGGATCTCTTAGGAAAATATATTAAGGATTTGGGATGTTGTAGGGAATTTTTTTTTTTTCCCAGAGTGCCTGTGGGCAAACTCTCACTTGTCTTTTAGTCCTTACAAATATTTAGCATTGGTTGTTTCCTATGTAATTCTTCCAAGATGGAATCCCTAAGCTGAAACATCCACAGCGTGATGGGTGGAGATGGAGCATTAGGAAAGTGTTTGGGAAGGAGGGCAGACTTTTCCTCGATCCAACACTCTTTCTATGGAAAGCAATCTGCCCTTTGCCAAGACCTCAGAAAAAGCCTTGCTTGCTTGTTTCTTCCCAGCTTCCTTTTTATGGGAGAAAAAGAGTGCTCTGCAGTGATGAAAACAAGAATGGACTGCTCCCCATAGAAGTGTGAACACTCTGTCCTAATGAAAAGAGTGTAGGTGAGCAAGCTACACATCCACAGGAGTCTGGAGCAAAACTCAGTCCAGATTCTCAAACTGAATATACTCACCCAACCTCTAGCAAATTTCTGTACTTTAATTTTTGGAAGAATTTTCATCCTCAGACAGGGGTTTCTCAAGGGAAAGAATTTGTTTGCATGGATCTAAGATGAAATAGCAAATGTGTTCCTTGTGTACTGCATAATTGGGACAATCCAATGTTATGTGCACAGCACAGATCCTCTAATCAACTTGGCCACCAGGAATGAGGCTGATCCCCTTTTTCATCTAGACTCTGCCTTTATCTAAAGGAATATGCGTGGATAAAGGGGAAAACCCCAACCAAACCAAAAAGATTAAAGCATAGTTTTGTGGGGCTTGTGTGTACTTTACATTGCAAACATGTCACCACCCAGAGTATAATTTTAGCAATGGAACTGCTATCAAACATTCCTGAAAATACTGACACCTGAAGCCAGATGCAGGGCTGCCTGTTTAATTATTACTCTCAGGCAGTGCATCTGGAAGTCTGGAAAGAAGGGAAGTACTTCTTTAATTGAGGAATAAAAAACATTTATTAAAATGTAAACAGTAAAATCAAGTAGAGGTTGTATTCTCTCCCAAAAAAAAAAACCCAAAAAGCAGCCTCAAAAAACCAGAGCATTTTAGCATAAACTCATCTTAATCTATTTCCAACAGGGAAAACAGCAAACAATTACAGAAAAAGCATCTGCTGCAGTGTATAATGTTTCAGCAATGCCACAGCCACCTTCAAGAAAAGCATTGAAAATTTCACATAAACTCATGATTCCTATCAGAGATACTTTCCAACTATCTCTGCTGGCTTTAGGGAACCATATTTCTCACTTGCTGAGACTTTTCTATTAACTAGGCCAATTCTAAAATAAAGTCAACTACTATTCTTTGTACCTCCCACTTACTGGTAATTTCCATATACTTACACCATATCTTGCTTGATTTTCTAAAATAAATGTATCAAACAAAAACAAATGTAAACAAAAATAAGTATATGAAACAAAAATGTATCTATGTAAAAGATCAAGATTTAAGCCAATGAATCAAGGACTAAAATGTAAAGTTTGCCTCCAAGTTCAAAAGGGGGACTAAAACTGAGAAATGAGGCGAAGCTTTATCTGAAACCAGATTTTTATTCAGCCAATTCCAGTGCTCGTGTAAATGGCATCTGCAAGTTCTGCAACAATGGAAATGCAGTTCAAATAGAAGAGAATACAGCACCCAAACTGAACTAGATTTTACCTTCTAAAGCCTATTTCAGATTTACAATCATAAAAAAAAAATTAGTAAAAGGTCCTTAAAATAGGAGGGAAAAGCCTGAATATTTCTCCCCTCCTGAATATGAATTATCTAATTAGTCAAAGCTCAAATTATCTTATCTAACAATTACTATATGTTATGACTAATGTCATACTACATCATTACATGATAATGACTTTTTTTCTTTAATTTATTTCTGCTTAGCATAAAATCATCAAACAGTTTGGGTTGGAAGGGACCTTAAAGATCATCTGGTTCCAGTCCCCTTTGGGACAGGTCCCACTAGATCAAGTTGCTTAAAGTTCCATCCTACCTGGCCTGCAACTGTTCAAGGCATGGAGCACCCTCATATTTCTTTAAATCATCCTTATTTTAAAAACTTTAAATTGCATAAGTAATCAAACCTACAATCATATATTGGATTGAAATGAAAAAAAAAAAATCAGCATAGGTTATTGTTTGAGGAAAAAAAACACCCCTTTGTAGTTTGTATGTTTTCTCAAATGTCTCAATTTTTAAAAGATACTGAACTTGTTTTTTCCTCCATCAAATATCATGCTCACTTGTTTCACAATGCCAGCCAAAAGCCAGTTAACTCTTGGTGATGGATTACCTTATGATTACAACAAAGCAAGAGACTTATAATAACCATTTCCTTCCAGATCCTTCAGGCCATGTAAATTTGCATGTAAATTAATAAACTAAACTGGTGGAAGCAAAACTCAAGGGAACTAAAATAATTTCCTGTTCCTCCAGCAAGCTGGCTTGGCTTTTTTTATTTCTTTTGGCCGGTCTTGGACATCATGGCATCTTTCTTTCCCTCTGGATGGAAAATTTTTCCAGACCCTTATTTTCCCCTTGTTGAAAGAACAGCAGCGTGTTTAAGAGTTACTGCAGAAGTGCAATCACAGTTTCAGGGTTTGGCTCACAGGCTCTCAGGGTTATGCTAAGGGCTGCACAAGAGTATCCCACTTCCCAGCACACCAGCATCCAGTCACAGCCAAAGGCTTTGAGTCTCTGTTATTTAACATGGTAAAAATATATTGGTGAGACAAAACGACTGACGAGACATCTGATATGAAATACCAATCCTGTTTGAAACACCAAGGATAGGGAAAAATGAGTAAGAATAAGTGACATCAAAGGTGTGTCTTACCATAAATTCCGGTTGAAATACAGGGAAAGGCCTGTAAAACACATGAAAGGAAAAGAAAAGATCAGTGGGATTTCTGTTTACCATACTTTTTATCAAAACCAAGAGTGTTTTTAAATGCCTGTTTTTCAACACCCAGAGATAATATGTTACAGCATTCATGGTTACAGCAGTCAAATCACAGGCATTCTCGTGCCATTATATGAAACATATTCCATATGTTTTCCTTGCTGCCACATTAATAAAAATAAAACTGCATTCTTTTTCACATCTTGAGCTGCAAGCAACATTTGAATACAGACTCATTCTTAAAACTGCCTTTTGAGTTAAAATTTAATGCTATGAGCTAAAAATGAACACCATAAGCTACTACAGTAGCAACACACAAAGTCATATCATCTGGGTAGAGTTAGACAATGTTTCTTCATCAGTAAAATAAGCTTGGCCAGCTTAGACTATGTTATGCCTCTTTGCCATGCCCTCATTCACTATAATCTCATTTTTAGGTTCAGTTCTTTTGGATGTGGTTTATGGTGTGACCCAACACAGCTGTACTGCTACAAGCCAAAGGTTTGCAAACTGGTGCAGGGGGAGGAACTGGAAGATGCTGGTGAAAAGAAATAATACATTTTTGGGGCAGCTTGGACACCAAAGAATATACATCATGCACCAAGAAATATTACAGACACTGTGCCAGGAAGAACAATAATTTGCATTCCTGCTAGCTGGATGTGTTGTCTTGAGATTTGCATTTCTATGAGCCAGAGTCAGTTTTCCACCAGGAAAAAACAAAGTTGACGTTTCACGAGAGAGGCAATTTTCTTCATGTTCAGCTGATACATGATATCTCCTTTGCCTCCCACCTCTGGACTGACAGCAGACACAGCTCAAAGGTATGAGAGCACCTGGGACCAAAGTCTCAAATATCCACCCTGAGGCTCCCTCCAGATCCTCCAACAATGAGTCATCATACAAAAGAAATAAATTCTTCTTTACTTAATCACACAGGAAAACATTATTCAAAGCAAATGCTTGCTTTACATTTAACCAGGGAATTAATTAGGGAATGGTGATTAAGAAAGGAGAGGTCTAATGGAAAGAATACATCCTCCCCTCGCCTCCCCTCTGAAAATACTTAGCTAAAATAAAGTGGAGGAGAATTATAGTCTCATTCCTTCTCATAGCCACTACAACTTACATCCTGGAAAGTACTTAGCTTTGTAGTTTGTACCCAATAAATCACAAGAATCAGCTCTTTAAAGAAATGAAGAATAGAGTAGAAAATAGAAAAAACAACCACCACATGGTTATAGAGCTCAGGCTGAAGTGGCAACAGATACTTCAACAATCAGAGAAGCATTTTGTTCAGTTTAGGAAAAGATCTTAAAATTCACCACTGTTGCAGTTTCCACATGTTAAGAGATAATTGCTCCAAACAAGTGCTTTGTTTTCTATTCTTTGCAGATTTTCAATAACAGCATGAGACTTAGACACTCATTTGCCTCAGAACAGGAGTAACAGAGTATTTGTGATTCTTTCTCTTACTGGCCCCACAACCAGGTAAGGGGAAATAGTCCTGCAGCACCTCCAAAACTCCATCAATCCCGTGGCTCCTTGGGCAACACCTCACATGGTGTCTATGGGACACAGCTCCACTACTGACTTGAGATCCCCACGTGTGTGACAAAGCCACCCACCTCGGGGACCTCGGGCTGGATGGCTCTGCAGCCTCTGGCAGCAAACAGCAGCAGCTCCCAAAGGGCATCTGGCTGACACGGCTCTGAGCAAGATCACACACCCTTAAGGGTCTAAAAGACCTCTGAGATCACCAAATCCAACCCTTACATGAACCTACTTAAAGCCATGAAAGGGACCTTGAAGGGGTCTGCAAGACTGGCTGCTGCACTGTGGGACCGGCTCAGCACACCCTGCCAACATCTGGCACCACAGCTGTGTACTGGGGTGCTAGACCCAAGCACCTGAGGGCTCCAGGGAGTTTCCTTCTCATCTTTGCTCAGAGAGAGAAGATGAGAACTGCATTTTCAGCAGTTCAAACTTGTTCATCTCCATTCACAGAATAACGTGCTCTGAGGCTGCTCAGCAAGCTCTGGCTGGAAATTTGTGTGTTCTCTGTGTTTCTGAGCACTTTAAAAATTATTGTGTAGGCACAATCATTACCTCGCTTTCAGATTCTGTCATGCAGCTGAAACAGATCTGGAATGGAGGTACAAGACTATAAAATCCCATCAAGTTCCTTTGGAATATGGGTCTGTGCCATAACTCAGATGAGCTCTGCCCTCTCCCTCATTCAGAGATGATCACAGCACATAACCAGCAGATGTAATTCCGTAAAATGTGACAGTGCTTTTATTCATTCAAGAAAAACCCATGCCCGAAATCACATATCAACCGTGTTTCCTCTTAGCTCCTAGGGAGACAATTTAGTCTAGATGCCAGGTTGAAATTACTGGCAGAGCACTAATAGGGAATTCACAGCATGGATGTCAACATACTGCAATATTTGGCTTATGGACAAAAGATGTTAAGGTTTCTAACCTTTTCTGTGACTAATTAATAACAACTTAATTATGTATCTGATTTCAATTTTAAAAATCCTTTTCACAGTAGGTAACATTCATTCCTATTTCCACAATAATAATGTTTCTCATCTTAATTTGTTGCTGGTATCCAGTATTTATTTATGAACTTTTAATTTCTTTTCTACCAAAATAGCATATTTGCTTTATTTGGGGACTAATAAGAAATGCTACCCTGATAGCATTCAAAACACACAGCTCTGAAATTAAACATAAGTAATATAGGCAGGAGCTTCCTACTAGTACTGTGCTTTAGCAATCATCTAGAGAAAGAAGCCAAATTAAATCAGGTTTGTGAATACTGTAAGACTGAAATGGATTTAATTCCTGTAGGAATGTGGGCACTCAGCCTCTGGTTCTTTTTAATCCAATGTGTCTTTACCAAGGCTATAGCAGCAGTACTAATTAGGATGAAATGTAATGCAGCTTTATGAGGAACATTTACAACAGTCACCAGGTGGAAGCCAAGTTGGACTCTAAAACATTTCAGTAAGAAGCACCTGGGTATTTAAATACTTAAAGGCTTATCTACATCAAGGGGCTCTAGTTCACACTGAGCTGCAATGTATTAATGGTTGTACATTAGATGAATACAATTACTAAGCCTCCATGACCAGATGCCTCCTACTGCAGCCACAGTTCCTAATTGCTTACACAGAGCAAGGACTTTCTTCAAATTAAGTGTTCAGCATCCTGAACTGGTCTCCCAGTGACATTTCTGCCACTATAATGCCATAGGCAAGGTAAGCACTTTTATTCCAGCACATAGCACAGCATACAAAAATAATATCAAACACAAACCCTTCTCTGATTTCACTGCATCATCTTACAAAGAGGATTAATTTTCCTGTTTGAGAGCCATTCCTTCATGCACCTTGCATTACTGATATTCCTGTTCATCAGCCTAAAAAGTCTAAAAAGCTTGTGCACCTTAGATGCTTTCCAAAATAACATGCTCTATGAAAACACTGAACTTCAAAAAACACAATGAAACTATAAACTTCAGGGACTATTTTATGTCTTTTGCTGCACAAACTATTCACAAGGTACCTAAACACATATTTAAGATCAGTAACATCAAACACTCAAGTCAAGTTTTGCTGCTGTTACTAGATCAAACTTATAAACCGAATGATTTTATAAACCACCAACTATAAACACTATCTTTTTTCCTTTTAAATATCCTTCTACTACTATCTGAAAGAAAAATAAACTAAAATCTTATGTTATTTTCCAGCTTCTCTCCTGAAGTAATTTCTCTTTTGGTCATAATTCTGAACCATAATTTAACAAACAACAGATTTTGGAAAAACTATCATTCAAAGAAAATTTTCTATTCATAAATAGAGAATTCCAACACAATTCCCTATCCTGAAGGTGAAGAGGAAAAAAAAAAAAGAATAATTGAAAATGACAATACTTAAGCTCTGTTTTCATTACAGACAATACTAGCATGTTTGTTGTCTTTAAATAACAAAAAAAGCAATTATCACCTCAAAAATAAGCAATGTTCTGAATGCAGCATGACACATGCAAGCCTGTTTGCTGTGTGATAATATTCTTACTGTTAAATTATGTGTCTTAGTTTACACAATTAATGACTTTTTTTTTTTTTTAACTGAAGTAATCAAAAATTTCAACCAAATGACATTAATTCAACAATGGATGGGGTGAAAAAATATTGAGGAATGTCTACTAGGAATTACAAATTCTTTTAGCATCTGTGTATTCTAATTTACATGAATTTAAGATAGTCTTTTGAAGACATTAAAACCAGATGCTACAATGACCTACACAAGACAGTAGAGCATTGTAGTATGGAATTAAATTAAGATGGTTTACTACTTGAGAAATCTTACTAATATTTTTTTAAATTTTCAAATTCAGAATCTTTCAATAATTAAAAGTAATAGCTCAATTAACTGCCAGGATAAAGATCTGGACTGAAGTTAAGTCAAAGAATCTGATTTCTCCATATACAAACTCGGTTGTGGGGTGAAGTTTGCCTGTTTTTTCCTCTAAACTATTTGAATATTTGTAGTTAAAGTGAAAAACTTATGTGGGAACAACAAATTAACAGTTTGGCATGTATTTTAAAAGCCATCATGCATTTATATTTAGAAACACTGAGCCATGAAACCTGGCTGCTCAAAGCAGGGCCATTTAAAGCTGATCACCCAGGCTGGAATATCTCCTAAGATGGAGACCCTACAACGTCTGTGACAACCTCTTCTGCTGTTTGACCAACAGAGAGTGAAGTCAATTCTTGTGTTTAAACACCTCCCAGCTCTCTGCAGACTCCCCAGGGTGCTTTGTTCCCCATCATCTGAGTCACTAATAATGAATTTTAATACCACTGGCCCCACAGTCAGCCCCTAGGGTAGATGACAAGTGACCAGTTCCAGGTGGACCTTGTGCCACTGACCACCACCCTGTA